AGTGCCACCACTAGGTTCAGTGATTCACCGGGAGGGCTCACAGGGCTCAGCACATAGTCCTGCTCCTAGCTGTGATTTACCACAGTGACAGGACACAAAATAAAATCACCAAAGGGGGAAAGTGCATACAGAGAAGCCCAGAGGAAACCAGGTGCAGCTTCTAAGAGTCCTCTCCCAGTGGAGTCACACAGGACACACTAAATTCCTCCAGCACTGAGTTGTGGTGACACATGTGAGACATTGTCCACCAGGGAAGCTCATCAGAGACTCAGTGCCCAAGGTTTTATTGGGGACTGGTCATGTGAGTACCCTCTGGTTAACATGAACCAAAATTCCAGACTGCCAGAAGGAAAGCAGGTGTTCAGCATATGCCACGTTGTTTGTACAGTCTCGGTACAGTTAACCACCCTTACCAACCAAAGAATGGTGAGAACACTCACTAAATCCAAGTTTCCAGATGCAAGCCAGGGGCCAAACTTGCAAGAAGAGCCCTTCTAAGCATAGAAGTCTTTCCTTCTATGTTAACTCTTTTCAGCACAGGTGTACACCTATGAGTGGAATTGCTGGGTCACATGGCAACTCCATATTTAACTTTTTATGCCAAACTGTTTTCCAAAGCAAATGCACCATCTTTATTTCCATCAGCAATTGATGACGCTTCCAATTTCTCCACATCTTGGCCAACACTTGTTATTGTCCATCTTTTTTATTACAGCCATCCTAGTGGGACTGGATGGTTTCTAAGTTAATAATTTGCAAGCATTTAGAACCAAAAATGATGATCCATAGGAGCCAAAATTGGTTCTCTAAGAACAAATCATGCCAGTCTAACCCCTGATTTTTCTTTAAAAAAGAAAAGAAAAGAAAAAAGAAAAAAGCAGTCTATTTCCTCTGTACTAGCTTTATTGGGGCAGAGTGTTCTTGTATTTCAATCCTATCCTTTACAATATCTTTATATTACAAAAATGGAGACTCGGGGCTTGGACTGATTGGCAGATTCCTCACTTGCTAACAGATGACACTCAGAGCAGTGCTGGATCCAGCAGAGGGGTTCCTGCTGCTATATCTCCAGCTCTGTTCCCAGCCCAGCTATTTAATGTTTCTGTCCAAAACTTGGGAGGGAGACACAGATGGTGGTCCCATCAAAGCAGGCAGAATACCCAAAACAGGCAGACACACACACATTGAATGATAAGATCTGGTTCCAGAAAGATCCTGACAGCATGAAATGGTATCCACGTCCAAGGAGAAGGAATTATTAGGGACAGATGGCAAGTCCACACCCACAGAATCTGGTTCAGATGTAACTGAACTGCTTTGGTTCCACTTTGCATTTTGGTTTCTTCTTGTTACCAAAAGTACAGCCAACCATAATAAATGGATGAAAACCATGATGATGTGCACCTGCAGTTTCGAGGGACTCAGAGCTCTGCCACTGGGGGAACATTGAAGGCTCTGGGCTGTTCAGCCAGTCAACAGGCAGCCGAAGGTGACTTGAGAGTGGGCTCCCCTGCGTGAAGATCTCTGGTGGAAGCACACGAGCTGTCTTCCCCACAGCCCATAGGGAAAAGCAGATTTGGGTTGAGTAAGGCAGAACTTTGTGGAACACCACAATTGAATGGGCTGTCATCACTGAGGGTATTCAAAGAGAGGTTACTTAGTCTTTTATTAAGGAAGTTGCGTGGGGCAGGAGGTGACCTGGGTGACCTCTGAGGTCTTAGAACTGCCTAAGCATGAAGCCAGGGACTCTGTGTCTCTAAAGCCAAATCCAGGGGTTGTCCAAGACACGTAGAGTGAGATTAGCCTTTCTGTTTGTCGGCCTCTTTTTGTGTCCCTCATAGTCCTACCTGTCCATCAGGACACTTGGTGCCCATGAAATTTCCCTTGAGACACTCGCTTACCTTTGTCTGAGCACCTATGTTGCTCAGAAGCCCCCCTCCCCCCACCCATTGCCTATTTTACCTGTGACATATGTGGCTCCCATGAGTCTCCCAGGGTTGTGCTAAGCTCCAGAGCCAATTTTCTTATTTGTTCTTACATTCATTCAGCAGATATTTAATGAGCACCTATTATTTGCCAGTCCGTGGATGAGTTGCAGGGCATGCAGCAGTGAATGGGGGTGGGGGCACTAACCACATAGATGCGTAATAAAAGCATAACTGCAGGCTGATGTGGGACTTGACATCAGGAATGCAAGATCGGAGTAGGGGCCTGACTTAGGCTTAGCTGGGGAGGAGGCCTCCCTGCAAAAATGCCTTTTCAGCTGGGATCTGAAGGCAGATAAGCAGTTGGCAGGGAAGTGGAGGGTGTGGGCCGAAGGAGCACTCCCACCATGGCTGTAGCCCAAACTGCGGCTGAGCACTGGACAGGACACCCAGTACATTAGGGTTAGGAAGAGAGGTAAGGACTGCCTGGCTGGGGCCTTTCCGCATCACCCCTGTTCATCCAGCACGTGGGCTTGTGACCAAGGTGGAGACATAAGAACTAGCATTTGAGGGCCTGTGTATCTTTGTGCTCGTGTGTGTGTGTTTTGAGAGTAGCTCTGGTTGCCTTCTGAATCCTTTCCCAAGTGACACAGGGATTATTTGTGCCTGCATTTCCCTCCATTGATGTGATGACGGTGAGAACGGGCTGTGTTCCAAATACCCCCACGCCCCTGCCGTGACAGTTCCTTTGAGAACATGTAGATACCTATGATTCTCTTAATTACTCCTGTACACCCACTTCTCTCCCTGTTCTGTCTCTCTCAAGCAGGAGGGACTAGAGGGTAGGGTGCAGTCCTCCCCCTCCAGACCTCTGCTTCTGCTTTCCTGCTGCCATTTGTGTTTTAACAGCCTCCTGCTGCTCTCCTTCCCAGCCACCTCCCTCACATTGACTTAATCAAGGGGGCCCCCAGATAAGAGAGACCCAGGGAAGAGGCCAGTCTCCCTTAAGTGCTCACACCCGGCAATTAGTTTCTGTTATTGCCAATTCAAGATAAGTAGAAAATAACAGAGGAGTGGAACCAGGACTCGAAGCCTGTGCCAAGTGCTTGGCATGCATTACCATGACATTGGCACGTGTGTCTCATGGGAAGCCACACATCAAGCCAAGCGTGGAGGAGGGGTCTGCTAGCCTGGGAGTTGAAAGGGCTGTATTCCATCCCTGCTGGCTGTGCCACTCTGACCACTGTCCATCTCTGAGCCTCAGTTTCATCATCTGTGAAATGGAGAGATGGTACTAGATTATTCTGCCATTTCATGGAAAGCCCAGGCCATAGACCTGTCAGGTCTGCCCTCCTGGTCTGTGCACTTGGGCTGCAGTGGTGAACATGGCAGTAGTTACTGTCCAGATGTGACTGGAAGAGACGGCTTCTCGGCCTTGGCACCAGGAGTGGCAGGGCATGGAGAACGCAGATGGCAGTGTCCAGAAAGATGGAGCTGAGGCAGGAAGGTGGGCTGGGAGATGGAAGGAGAAAAGCAAAGGGATTCCAGACAGTGTCTGGAAGTGAGATGACAGAAAGAAACACTTCTGATAGATGAGTGTTTCTCAGATGTGGCCCATGGACCACGTGGGAACCCGTTAGAAAGGCAAATTCTCAGGCCCCACCCCACACCTGCTGAATCAGAAACTCAAAGGGCCCAACGGTGTTTTAAAAAGCTCTCCAGATGATTCTGATGCGTGCCAAAGTCTGAGAACTAATAAGATGGATGAAAGGAGGAGTGAACAGATGAGGCTCAGAGAACTAGACTTTAAAGGCCGAGGAGGGAAGAAGACTAGCGTTTGTCAATCACTGCTGTGTCAGGTCGGAAACGGCATTTCCAGCTACTTTCTCTCAGTTAAACTTTTCAGGGCTGTGGCAAAGCAATCCTTGTTATTCCCATCTCAAAGAGGAAGCAGCTCATAGATATTTAGTCACTTGCTAAAGCCAAAGAGACAGTGGTGGAGATAGGATTAGAACCCAGGCCTCTCTGGCACCGAAGCCTGAGTTCTTTCCACTACCGCAGGCTGCCTCCCACTTCCCTGTCCCTCAGCTGAGCCTCCACTGCCTGGGCTGGCTCCTGCCTCTGCGCCAGGGTCACCCCACAGCCTTGCTCTGCTGTCCTCCTTTTGCACCCTGCCATCAAAGGCAAAAGAGAAACCCTGGCAGGGCGAGGAAACAGGACTAAGGACGGATTATTACCCGCATTCCTCCAGCCTTCAGTGCTCAGTGCAGCAGGGGACCAAGGTGCTTGCATGATGCTCCTAAGGGGCTGACATAGTTGCCTTAATGTAATAAGAACTCATGCATGCACTCATGACAGAGCCCCCAAATACTCTTTGCTAAGCCCTATGCTGGGAGCTTTGGGGAAACTGAGGCAAGGAAAGTGTAGTTTCTGGCTTCAAGGAGCTTATGGTCCAGAGCCAGGGTAACAAAAACTGACAGTGACCAGCTGGGGTGCTAGGAGGCCTGGGACAGCCAGGGTAGGTCAAGCCAAGTGTTGGAGGAGTTCACAGAGACTCATGCAGTGACTTTGTGGGACAGACCTAAGGCTTTGGAGCCAGAGGGCATGTGTTCAATTCCCAGCATTCTCACTGACTCACTGGGTAACCCTGAGCAAGTTACCTTATGTCTTGACTTGTCTCCTTATCTATAAAATTGAGTTAACAATCCCTAGCTCAGGGGGATTATTCTATCAGATTCTAACAGGCCTCACTCAGTGAAGTCCGTTTCCTTCCCTTCAGAGGGTCCCTGGAGGTCCAGTCACTGGAAGGCTTCCTGAAAGAGGTGGCTTTTCACTTTGGCACTGACGAGTGGCTGGAATATATTTAGTGCTTTTTGTGTCTTCTCTAAGGAATCTATGGGTAGGCACTGGATGTGTGGGCTTGTCTGAGGAGAATGGCCTTCCAGGCAGCTGTAATTATGAGTGAAATTATGGTGAGAGGAAGCCATCTTTCTTAATGTGGAAGATTGTTTTCTAAACGTGGTCTCAAGTCCTGTCGCAAAGAGCGTTGCTGGGAGTCACCGTGCTCAGGTTTGCTGTTTCCCATTCTCTCGCAGATGATGCAGTTTGCCTGGCAGAGCTACAAGCGTTACGCAATGGGGAAGAACGAGCTCCGGCCCCTCACAAAAGACGGCTACGAGGGCAGCATGTTCGGTGAGTGGATGTCGGGGAGACCCCTGCCCTGGGGGCCGAGCAGGGGATTTTAGTTTTGGCTTTTCATCTCCTGAGCTGTCTCCCTATTTCTCCAGACCTGGGGATCCCAAGCTTGAGTTCCTGTGGGGCTGTGTAGGCTTCTGAGCCTTCTAGATTTGGAGGGAACCCACACACTTCCCCCTTACTTTATATACTTGTCTGTATGCACCTTTTGTTCATTTTCAGAGCAAAAAATCTTGGAAATGTGAGGGGGGATGGTAAGTGATGGACACTCGTTTCCACAGAAGTTTACAGTTTTGAAGGACACAGAGGATTGGGCTTAAATCCGCTCTTCCAAGTGCCTGTAAAGTGATCTTAGCTGTTTCCCTAGAGAAACCAAATACATTTTTAACGAGGTGGGCACACACAGTGCATTTAGGGTCTTGGGAGGGTATCTCCCGCTGACTGGCTTGTGGACAGACATTCGCACATTAGGGAGCGACACGGTGCTGCTGCGTTTTGGCAGCTCAAGTTTTATCTGCAGCCTCGCTTGCTGACATCTCTGCCCTTTGCAGCTGTGAGATCCTCCTAAGTCAGAGCCTCCAAAGCCCCTCTCAGCTGGAGAGGCTGCAAAGTACCTTATTGTGGGCACAGCTTCAGATTTCAAATGTAACTCCTGAACAAATGGCTAGCTCCCCTCTCTGCAGGCCTTCCCTATGAAAAGATGCTGGAGGCACCTGGCTTCTTCTTCTCCGAGAGGCAGGGGGGTCTGGAGATGGAAATACATCACCTATATTCCCCACCGCTTAGAGACACAGACTCCTGACAGTAAGAACCCAAGAACTAAGTCAGATGAAAATTCCTTGCAAAATTTCGAAAGCAGGTTTACAAGGGAAGGTCCCCTACACATATGGCCCTGTAAGAATATTTGTGTTATGGGAAAAGGGACACAGGACCTACCTTCCTCCCTCTAACCAGGCAGCATCATAACCTTTCTGGCTGTTCAGACAGTTCACTCTTCTTGAGTGGGGGGTTGTGATTTGAGGTAGCTGCTGCTGCTGCTTTTTCTTTTCCTGGCTATCATAGGCACGTAGAGGAAAAGAGAAAGTATCAAAAAGTGTAAAGCAGACAAAAAATAACTCGTTTCAGCACGTAGATGCAGCCTCTGTTGACATCTTGGCTCATTTCCTTTTAATCTTCTGTATGCTTTCCCCTCCCTCCTTTATATACAATATTATATTGTTTCTTTTTTAAATTAATTAATGTTATAAGTGTTTCCCTAACTCATGTAAATTTTTTCATGAAGAATATTTTTAATGGTTGCAATTATTGCATAGATATGTCATAATTCATTTAGCCATGCCACTAAAGTTGGACAATGGTCATTTGTAAATTTTTGCTATTAAAAATAATGCAGCAGTTATCATCTTTGTTCATAAAGTGTTGTCTTAGGATAGGTTCCGAGAGAGGGAACAGAAGGCAGGAAGATAGATATTCCTTTAGCTTCAAATATGAAATGGGTGGATGCCAATTTCGGAGGCTCACTGCCTTACCTGCCTAGAACATAGACCTTCTCCAACACCCACATCAGCCCTGGGGAGAGATGGCTGGTGTGGCTCTCATCAGAGTTGTTGGAGCTTTGGCTACTAGTGTCAATGAGGGACATAATCAAGGAGGCTCCTCTCCTTCTCTCTATACAGTTTGCAAATATTCAGGGAATTGGTGGAGGTTGGGGGGAGGCTGTTGATTTCTGAAACTGCCCAGCATAGGCATAGCTGTTGCTTGGACCATCCGAGGGCCATTCATGGGGAGCACTAATGGGAGGAACTGGGCTGCACCAAGTCCCATTTTGTGAAATTCCTCAGGGGCTCTGATTTAAATCTCAACCTTTTGGCCTTATTCCCATCACTGAGCCTGACAGAGAGTGGGCAGCTTGGAATGATGGTAAGAAACCTGGACCTTGAGCCATAAGACCTGGGCCCGAGTCCTCATTCTGCCCTGAACTACATGTGTGGCCAAGTTCAAGTTGCTTGATCTCTCTGGGCCCCTGTTGCTTCTTTTTTCACACTCAGGCTGCTATGAGAGCATGCAGAACAAGTATATATGCATGATTTAGGATTTCCATTGTAATAAATGTGGTTGGCAGTTGCCCAGGTGAGCCCATGGAGGATTCTGAGGTGCCTTCGGTTGTCTGTCTCCCAAAAGCAGCCTTGGCAAGGCCCTGGATGCCTCATCACCCCGTGCCTACAGCAGTCCTGGCAGTGAGGCCTTCCTTCTGCAGCCAGCAAATGAGCCACAGTGGGCGGCTGGCTCCTGGGAAAAGAGAGTGTGTAGGGACTCAGGCACTGGGCAGGGAAAAGCTGCTCTTGATTTTCTCACTCTTTCACTCAACGGATGCTTGTCTAGTGCGATGCTCAGTGCTGACTGCTGGGGATACAGGGATAAATGGCACAGCGAAACCACCAGCTCTACCGAAACATACACTGTCAACCCTTCCTCGGGGCCTCTCTGGGGTCTGTCTAGGTGCTGTCAGGGAGAGGGACAAGTGGAAGGGGTCATAATCAGTGATGTGAACAGTGCTTCACTGGCTTGTGGTTCTGGTCCCCTGGAGCCCAACAAGTTGAAATTCAGACTTCACTGCTTCCTGATTGAGTGACCTTGGGCAAGGCATTTCTCTCTGAGCCTGAGTTTTCTATAAAGTGGAACTAATGAAAACATCAGTCCCCCAGCCCAGGGCCTGTCGGACACACAGAACCTTCTCATAGATGGTGGCTATGCTTATTGTTGCCGCAAACGGGTCTGATGATACGGAGGCTTATGGGAACATCCCCAGAGGAGGGTTTAGGGACATTCTAGGAGACTGGAGGAGGTTCTAGTTTGGGGTGGAACCATGAGGGGCTTGGAATCCAGACTGTTCTTGAAGATAGGAGGTGAACTGGCCTGAATTGAGCTGCTTGTCACACCATCCTTTTGCTGCACTCATGTGGGCTGTTGGGCGGCATCACTCCTGGGCTCTGGCAACTGCTGTCATCAATGACCTCACTGTAAGCTGGGCCCTGCAGGGCATGGTCAGGTGGCAGCTGTCCCCACCCTGTCCCACATGGCTGAGTCAATGTACGAGGGACCCTGAGCTGCTTCCTGCATCCTGGTGCATATCAGTTTGACATGGGCTCTTGCAGCCTCCTCCCTGGGCCTGAGGGGCCAAGAGGGCTGTGTATGGGGAAGAGAAACGAGTTCATGCTGGTTCCGGGCTTTGCAGGATATACGGGAGCTGCAGCAAAGACGTTGGATGCAAAGCCTGGTCTCCCTGTTTAGCATTTCACCAAATTGAATTTCCCCTCCCAGCCACTTGTGTGCCCCTCCCTGAATCTGTCCTCACTTTGAAAGTAAGACCTCTAGGTGAGGCACCTCTCAAGCCAGTTTTGGTGTCCTGAGATATTTGGTGTTAAAGTGGCTTCCTGTTTACCACAGTCTGACTCAGCAGGTCCTGTCCAGAAATGCCCCCAAGACCCTAGCAGCTGTGAGCAGAGAGGACACAGCCTGTTCACTGGCACAAGGCTGGCCCTCAATGGCGATGCTCTTATCATATTCAGTCACAGAGGCAAGTCTGCCACTTGTAGAAGACATTTGAGGAGGGGAGGGCAGAGGAACCAGCCATAGAATGGCAGCCAGCAATACCGTAAAGCACAGTGGTTCAGTACACAGAGGCCCAGCTTCCTTCCCTGTACAAGGTGCTGCTGCTAGGACCTGGGAGATACTGAATAAGCCAGCTGAAGAGCATGGACTCTGAGGCCAGATGGCTTGGATTTGCATGCTCCTCTGCCACTTCCTAGCTGTGTGACCTTAGGCAAGTTTCTTACCCTTTCTGGGCCTCAGTTTCCCAGCTATGAAGTGGGGACAACCATGGTCCCTACTCACAGGACTGTTCTGAGAACAAAATGAGGTAATCCATGAGAAGTGCTTATATTCATGCCCAGCACACAGGAAGCATTCTTCAAGTTCAGCTGCTTTGAGGATGACGTCAGGCCCTTAGGACAGTGTGTGCTTCTCCCATTTTGACTGGGGTGTGACCAAGTCTCCTGGACCCAGGGACCCACATGAGGGCTCCAGGGTTCACTCAGCCCTGATCCCTCCTGCCCTGCTCTCCTCAGTCCTCAAGCACCTGTGGCAGACATCATGGGTGGGCAGCCCACTGCTAGGCAGTGTACCTCTCACCCTTTCATTTAAGCAGCTTACAATTCCATTGTAAGCAAGGAAGAGTCAGGGGAAGGTTAGGGTTCAAGACTGTGGAATAAATTGGCCCCCTGCCAGCAGGAGGGTTTCCAGGAGAGCAGTGAGACAGATCTCGCATTGAGTGCCAGCTGCTGGCCTTGAAGCACTTAATGAGCATTAATCCTTCCAAGAAGTCAGAGCAATGGTAAGAACTTCATTCTCCCTTGGCAGTGGGGGAGATCGGTAGGTAACGGGCACAAAGTCTTGGGAGAATGCCACCAGAGAGGCCCTTTGATGGCAAGTCTAACTCCCTCATCTTAGAGTTGGGGAAACCAAGATCAGAGAGGGGAAGGGACTCGCCCGAGGTGACACTCTTGTTAATTGTAGGTCTAGGACTTGAACTCTGATATCCTGAGTCCCAGCCCAGGGCTCTTTGCACCACCCACTCTGAGATTAGCCAAACTGTGCAAGGCCAGATTGTCAAAGCACAGGCCTACAGACAGATCACCACCAGGAACTAGACATTCTCAGAACTGTAGCAAGAGCGAATTGCCTTTCAGGAGGTGTATGCTTCGAGAGCCAAGAGCCCACCTGCTTCCAGTGCATGCATCCCACTGGGCACTGTTGCTGCCAGACACTGTAGCTACATTCTGTGTGTCCTCCTCACAGCCCAGTGAAGGTGTAAATTATCCACTTATCCCCATTTTGTGGGTAAGGAAACTGAGACTTTGAGTTCCAGGACTTGCTTAGTCACACAGTTATCAAGCAGAGACTTGATCGCAGGTCTGTTGGACTCTAAAACCCAATCTATAAACCAGCATGCTGCCCTGTGCCCCAGTGACCACACTGATGGCTGCAGAGAAGGGAATGGGGACAGAGGGACAGTCTCAGGGTTGGCGGTGTTGCATCTTCTATTCCACGGCCCTCAAAGCCTAGAAATACATGTACCACAGACCAGGGTCTACAGCCACCCATCGATAGGCAGAATTATTTATTAGACATCAGCTGAGTATTCAGGGCCTGATGAAAAGATTCAGATTTCCCACTTTTCTCCCACCATAAGAAAATATTTATCCCTGCCCCATAATCTGCAAATATTTAATTACAAAACATGCCATTGACTGTTAGCGTGACGAGCTGAGTGGAGCATGGATGTGAGAACCAAACCAGTCTGAGTTTGAATCCCAGCTCTGTCACTTACTAGTCATGTGAACTTGGGTGAGTTTCTTAACCTCTCTGTACCTCAGATTCTCCATCTGTACAATGACGATAATACCTACTTCACCCAACAGTTGTGAGGACTAGATAAAGCTGATGTGTGTAAAACACCCAGCAGAGTACCTGCCCATGTGCTTAAACATACTTGACCATATGCATTCATCAACTGTAAACTGCTGCCATTATTACTACATTGTTATAAAAATAGTTGTGAGAATAATTATATTCCAAGGGGAAAACCAGTGCCTGGCACATAGTAGGCTCTCAGTAAATATTGTTGAATGAATGAATTGCCCCCTGTGGTCTGCCTGCCCCCTCTTCCCTTACACCCTTTATCCTGGTCCTGCTCTGCTCAGTTCCTCTCATTCTCTGCAGTTGCCTTGATCTCCTCCGTCACAAAGTGCATTAGGAATCAACAAACTGACCCTGATAGAGCAGCAGTACAGCTTAGTCAGTGGATCTGATCTCGGGCATTTTCTTGGTGGAGGATGGAGGTGCTTGCATGGCCAGAAGCTGGCCCAGGGTGACCGTAAGAGCCCCAAGTTGGATTCTGCCTCTGCCTGGTGAATCCCTGATAGAACTGCCCAACCAGATCCCCATTTCAAGGGATTGATTTACGGCCTTGGGTGAGTTAAGAGGAAAAATGAACACAGCATGATTTTCAGATCACAGGCTGGGAAAGTTCGGCCTTGGCAGAGAGAAAAATCATCTTTGCCTTGTAAACAGGGCAAATATGATGTTGAAGAGGGAATAAATCTAGGCCCCAAGATGTCACTTTTACAATTTCGTTTTGGCGTGTGACTTAGCAGTGCCTTCCACAAAATGTTCAGAGTCTCCTACACACACCTCCTACACACACACACACACACACACACACACACACACACACACACACT